TTTTAGCATACCAGCAACGTCTCCAAGAATACGAAAGCCTTAAGAGCAATGCGAAAAGACTAGAAGAATAACATAGGTAAGTGAGCATATTCCGCTTAATATTGGTGATCAGATTCTGAATTTGAGATTCGGCCCAGGTGGTACGAACTACATCTCAGGATTCCTTCGAAAGAAAACGTGACTCCTTCTTAAGAATCAAAGTCAGTGTTTTTTTGATAAACGTTTCATGCACTGTTATAGATTCATTTAGCTCTTTGCGCTCACTTCATAATGTTTCAGAAATAATATGTTGATACATGAGGACGCCCGTTACGCAGACGCTTACGATATTTTATCTGTAATTATTTGACTACACTGAAATAAAGGAAAAATGTTCATTTAGCTTCGAGATAGGACAACCAGCTGAGACCTGAAAATACCTGTCCACATAATCTTTCTTAACTTTGTGAGGACTTTCGACACAGTACCTCAGGCACTCCTAATTGCGAAGGTTGTGATATTCGGCTTCACTGACTTACTTCTGTGTTGGTTCGGAAACTACCCTGAGAACAGAAAGTTTCACACTAAGGTTAACAGAGTGCACTCCAGCTGGCGAGTCTCAACATCAGCAGTTTCACAGAGAGCCATCTTCGGTTCAAACTCCGCCGGTAGAGCCTAAGGGGCTACTGCCGGTCCCAACCCCGGATAAAGGAGGAGGGTTAGAAATGGGGTGGACGACCCCATTCCGCCAAAAACTAACTTGCCAAAAAAACGCTAACCAGAAAAAATAATTCAAACCATCTTAACTCTGCCCTGGCAGTTGCAAGAAGAATTATGACGTCGCGTGATGAAATCCGAGTTCCCTCAAAATTCACGGGGCCGATGCCTCTCCTGACAACCAGAGCAAACATCCTTTTAGGTTCATGGAACGTTCGTACATTGTGGGAGACTGGAAGACTATTTCAAGTTGCGGCAGAAATGAAAAGATACAACCTCGAGGTGCTCGGCATCATTGAAACGCATTGGACACAGGCAAGACAACTGAGACTAGCTTCAGGGGAACTGCTGTTATACTCTGGTCATGAAGAGGAAAATGCTTCACATACACAAGGAGTTGCATTGATGCTGTCCAAACATGCACAAAAGGCACTGATAGGATGGGAATCTCATGGACCCAGGATCATTAGAGAATCCTGCAAAACAAAGAAAGAGGACATTACAATGAAAGTCATCCAATGTTATGCACCTACCAATGACTACAATGACGACGTTGAAAATCAATTCTACGAAAGGCTGCAGTCAATCATCGAGAAATGTTCACCAAAGGATTTGACGATTCTTATGGGAGACCTGAATGCCAAGGTTGGCATAGACAACACTGGATATGAAGACATCATGGGACGACATGGACTGGGAGAAAGGAACGAAAACGGTGAGAGATTCGCAAACCTATGTGCCTTCAACAAACTGGTCATCGGTGGCACAATATTCCCGCACAAACGCATTCAAAAAGCCACATGGATTTGACGGGACCATACTACTCAAAGCCAGATTGACCATATCTGTATCAACAAAACGTTCAGAAGGACTATGGAGGATGTGAGAACCAGGAGAAAGGCTGATATAGCTTCAGATCACCATTTGCTGATCGCTAAAATGAAACTGAAACTAAAGAAACACTGGACAACGGGGCAGACAACATCACACAAGTTTAATACAGCCTTTCTTCGGGATACCGTAAAACTCAACGAATTCAAGATAGCCCTCACCAATAGGTTCCAAGCCTTGCACGATATACTCAATGGAGAGGACGCAACATCGGAGAACAATTGTAAAGGGATTAAGGAGGCAATCACTTCAACATGTCACGAAGTCCTGGGTCACAAGAAGTACCAACACATGGATTGGATCTCTGTTGATACTCTTGCAAATATTGAAGTGAGGAACAAGAAGGCAGCAATCAATGTCAGCCGAACAAGAGCAGAGAAATTTAAGGCACAAGCTACACACACAGAAGCAAACAGAGAAGTGAAGAAGAGCATCAGAGCTGACAAACGAAAATATGTGGAAGATCTAGAAATGACGAAGGAAAAGGCTGCATGGGACGGAAACTTGAGACAATTGTAGGAATCAACAAAGAAGCTGGCCGGGAACTGTCGTAAACCAGAACGACCAATGAAAAGCAAGGAATACAAAGTAATCAGCAACACTGAAGAACAGAGAAATAGGTGGGTAGAGCACTTTACGGAACTATTGAAACGACCAGCTCCACTGAACACACCCAACATCGAAGCAGCATCCGCGGACCCCCAATTAATATTGGCGCACCTACGATTGAGGAGATCAGTATGGCCATCAGACAAATCAAGAGCGGCACATCATCAGGACCAGACAACATTCTAGCAGAGGCAATGAAAGCAGATGTAGGAGCAACTGTGAAAATATTTCACATTCTCTTCAAAAAGATTTGGGATGAGGAACAAGTACCGTCAGATTGGAAAGAAGGATACCTGATCAAAATACCAAAGAAAGAAGACCTCAGCAAGTGTGAGAGCTGCAGAGGCATCACTCTTCTCTCAATACCAGGCAAAGTCTTCAACAGAGTATTATTAAACAGAATGAAGGACTTCGTAGACGCCCAACTTCGAGATCAACAGGTCGGATTTCGTAAGGATCGATCATGTACTGACCAAATTGCTACATTAGGGATCATTGTGGAACAATCAATTGAATGGAACTCACCACTCTACATCAACTTCATCGACTACGAGAAAGCATTTGATAGCGTGGATAGGAAAACACTGTGGAGGCTTCTTCGACACTACGGTGTGCCTGAGAAAATAGTTAACATCATACGGAACTCTTATGATAGATTCAACTGCAAAATCGTGCACGGAGGTAAGCTGACAGACTCTTTCGAGGTGAAGACCGGTGTCAGGCAAGGTTGCTTACTCTCACCCTCCCTCTTTCTCCTGGTCATCCATCGACTGGATTATGAAGATGTCAACATCTGGAGGGAAGCACGGTATCCAATGGACAGCTAGGACGCAGATGGACGATCTGGACTTCGCAGATGACCTGGCTCTTCTATAGCACACGCAACAACAAATGCAAGAGAAGACGACCAGTGTAGCAGCAGCCTCTGCAGCAGTAGGTCTCAACATACATAAAGGAAAAAGCAAAATTCTCCGATGCAACACAACATGCACCAACCGAATCACGCTTGATGGAGATACCTTGGAGGACATTAACACCTTCACATATCTTGGCAGCATCATCGACGAGAAAGATGGATCCGATGCAGTTGTAAGGGCGCGGATTTACAAAGCGAGGGCTGCATTTCTACAATTGATAAATATCTGGAACTCCAAACAAATATCAACCAAAACCAAAATCAGAATTTTCAATACAAATGTGAAGGCAGTTCTACTGTATTGAGCGGAAACATGGAGAACTACGAAAGCTATCATCCAGAAGATACAAGTATTTATTAACAGCTGTCTACGCAAAATACTCCGAATTCGTTGGCCTGAGACTATCAGCAACAACGAACTGTGGGAGAGAACAAACCAGATTCCAGTGGATGAGGAAATCAGGAAGAAGCGTTGGAAGTGGATAGGACACACATTGCGGAAAGCACCTAACTGCGTCACGAGACAAGCCCTCACATGGAACCCTCAAGGCAAAAGGAAAAGAGCAAGGCCAAGGAACACACTACGCCGAGAAATAGAGAAAGATATGAGAGGAATGAACAAACATTGGACAGAACTGGAAAGGGGAGCCCAGGACAGATTTGGTTGGAGAAAACTGGTGAGCGGCCTATGCTCCATTGGGAATAACAGGCGTAAGTAAGTAAGTAATCTTCGGTTCAGTCTTCTTCCTGATATTCAATAATGAACTGTTAGATAAAACTAGTTCAGCGGCATCGATCTATGCAGACGATGAAAAGACTTGAAGGTCCATATGAAGATAAGGGGATTCAGTTTAGTTTCAAAAGGATTACCAGCTAATGTGGGACTCCACCAAGGATAATGCCATTCTTCACTTTATGCAAGGGCAAGTTAGTGTCATCACCCCGAATGATTATGAATATTGTTTAAGACTTACACACTCCAACACCTTGGGGTGCACAACGTACATACACCTCATCTCCTTGAAAGAGACATGAATCTCCTGGATCAAGTGTAGAGACGAGTAACGATATGGGTGATAGGGTTGAAGAACAAACCATACATAGATAGATCCTAGCACCTCAGGTTTTTTTTTCCTTGTGACTGTAGAATCCTAGGTGATCTGATAATGGCGTGCAATTGTGAAGCACGCCAAACCTTCCCAACATGAGTATATTTCCGAAGCACCACCAAGTCCATCGAGGTAATCCTTGAAAAATTGGGCATCAAGAAAAAAACACTCACGTTCGTGCACACTTGTACTCATTGACAGTTGAGCAACTTGGAATGCTTTCCTGGCAGAGGAGACCACAGGTCCTTCACTGGATAGCAAAAGAAGGAACTTGATAAACACGTATTCACATACGGATTATCATCCCCTTTTGTATCAGCTGTGCCTGGTGAATGTCTCAAAACATCCCAGTTGTTAATACTGTCATTTCCCCAGATCACTAACCCAACCCGTCTCGCTTATTTTCTCTGTTTCCTCTCCTCTCCCTTAAAAACGTACTCACTGAAATCATGGAACATACAAATTTACAAATAACTGCCAAACAAACAAAATTATTGCAGTTGAGTGGCTAGACAACCACCGATTGGACACTACCAAATACTTGGTACCGTATCGAAAGGGTAAGAATCGAATGCAAAGAAGTCAATCGGTTTAAACTAGCTCGTGAAAAAGATATTTGATATTGGATATAGGAGATGTAAGGCAATATTCAGTAAAGATATATGGCTCATCAGCATGTCCTTTTCAAAATATATAGCATGTCAAAATCTCGGATTATTATAATAACAAGAAAAACTGTTAATTAAAAAGAGCCCCGAATATGGTTTGCCGTTGGCGACCGAGGTCATGCGAGTAATGGGAGCGGTAGTTTCAAACGGTCAATGTGTAACGCATTCGAAACCGTACTCTAAAAACCAGTTTCGATTATCAATTTGTCTTAATCCGATGCTGGCTGTGTTCCTTGTTGCTTTCTATTGATTGCTCTACTGAATGTAAGTGCTTTTATGTTCCTACCCCACCCTTGCATTACTTCTGATTGTTTTCAATCGATTTATTTACATTAAGAATAAGTTCATTCTACTTGCCGACTAAATCATCGTCCAACCATTTCCCTTTTTCTTGTCCACTTAGTCTTCTATACTGCTCCTCACGCTCTCAGCAGACAAGGTACCTTCAAGCTGTATGCAAATCTACCAAAAAGTGGATGCTGCGGGTGATTTATATACCATGCCCTTGTCGCTGTAATATAGTCACCATCAACCAGTAACATAATCACTGTACCAATCATACAGCGGGTTAGACTGCACACCGGTGCACTTATAGTTTCGGTTCGTCTCACTTTTCTATCTTATGTATTTCTGGCTGCCAGACGTTCCAGATTCCCCGACTCTCATAGGATCTTGAGTGAATCATGGAGTTCTCTCTGATGTCGTCTGAAGGTTTCTGGTCTTCAGAATGCGGAAATTCTGAATAAACTTGGGGTTTTCATTTGTTACGTTTTGAAGATTTTCCCAAAGTAAATTACAACTTTGTCGGAAAACCCCAAAAAAGAGTTTCAGGTCTTGTAATCGGATCCCGCCAGAGTTTACTGTTAGAGTTTCCCTCAGGATTGATAAATTTCTGACCAACATTGTGAGATTGAGTTGCTTTCTTTATTAAGTGTAAATGCTTTGCAGTCGTTTGCTTGATTATCGGCTCACATTTTTGTTCTTCTTTCCAGATTTTCCCACTCAGGCCTTTTTGTATGCCCACCAAGTACATTAACTACCTACTGGCCAGACGCAAATTGTCTTGTGTAACAGACTTGAAACCTTATTCTATTTTCTCCTAGTTTATATCAAACTTTTTGTGGGAAGGGGCGGTAATGATTTAAATTATTTTGAGTGTCCAAAGATTTTACGGTTTAAAGTCTCAAATTATTGAGCAGACTACTGCTCACAATTGTATTTTCTAAATATCTTTGTGAGCATAGCTACATTTATTCTTCAAATGCCACTTGGACTATGTTTAGTTTATAAATAGCATTTATGCATTAGTAATCGTGGTTCATTTAAAACCTTAGAATTCATCTATGAATTACGTGATACAATTTCTCTGACTGCCTGAAATTTCGTTTGTATTCATGTACGTGAGCTGATATCCATGACTTCGGGAGCACCTGGCCCTAACGAGAATGGTCAAGTAGCCAGGTCACCACTAGTTCACAAAGGCCGTGTATATCATCCATATATCAAAAGTATGTTAATTGGAGGAGGATTAATGGCTTTAGGGGAATTTTGTGCCCAGTCAATTAAAATGTATTTTAACCGTCCTTCCAACTGCAATTCAAGCTTTACCAACGACCGGTACTCTGCTTGTGATCAAGAACCATTGAAGAAATCTTTTACACATCAAATCACCTGTGTTCAGAATTACGAACTCAGCACCATTGGTAAGTGTTAACTTTTTTTGCGTGATACGTGACTAAACGGCTTCCTTAGATTTACTCCAAACTCACAAGCAAGACAAATACATCTCTAGATACTGACAATTCGTTGTTTGCTATCTCGTTGTATTACTCATATCCTACCGTCGTGTACTTTGATGGTGGTGTGCATTACAGAGTAAAGGAATGTTGTAGGCTACCAAAATCAGTTGACACATTTGTAAGGGAACTCTGACTTCTCCAAGATCTAAGCACTACTTGTAGTTTAAAATGTTTTATTCTACCATAGTAATTTGTTTATGACCGATTTGGTCTCGTGTGCTGTTACAGGTATGAGGGCGGTTGTCACTTCCTGGCTGTCCACACCGTGGAAGGGTGTTTCTTGAGGAACCTGAAAAAAGAAGGTAGATTAGTGTTGCTGTTAAAGACCTGGGAGCGTGACCGCAGAGCCCAAGGAACAACTGCTTCATGCCGGTTTTTTGAGCATTAGCTCCGCTATTGAAAGCCCTTAGTGGGCGCTCTTACCGACGGAGACAGAAATCCGTGAAGTAGAGTGAGGTGTGACATTTTTAGGGTCGACCTTTTCTAACCCTTCCCTCCTTGTGAGAAGGCAGTATCGCTGCAGATGCTGATTTTCCGAAGGAAACACCTTACTGCTGTCACGCCTCTCTGCAGTCAGCAGTACGACTTCGCCCTCAGACTTTGAGTAGCTGTTTTTAGTCTCATTCTTGTTTAGCTTTGTCGTAGACATCCTTTTACAGTTAACATTATCCTCGTCAGATTTTTAAGGGATGGACCTACTACGACGAGGATCGCTTACTGACCTAGAATATGCCGATGACATAGTTCTATTTGGTGAAGACGCTGACAAAATACAGTCTTCTGATTACCCTAAGCAACAATGCAAGCATGTTCGGGATGCGGTTCTCACCCTCGAAATGCAAAATTTTGCTTCAAGATTGGGTTGCGTCTGCACCTGAGCTTTGGTAGTCTCGTCAGCGCTGATGTTCTGGTGACTGACGAAATCAGTACAGATACAGAAAACTCGATTGGCTCTTACCAACCTGCGTCACTTATGGCGTAGGCGAGATATCCAGAAGATTAGGATTTGAGAGAACACAAAGAATAAATGCACCGGCGCCATTGCAAACGATTCTGAGCCGTGTCGTTCAAGGTCTCTAACCATCAGTGACTTTCGTCTCGCGGACCCCAACCAGGTAGTCTACATCTACCAGCATGACTCAGTCCACTTGTCAGTGACTTTATGGATTTGTGTCATGTTTTGGTCTGGCCGCCCCTACCTTTCTTCCAACCTACTCCTACGCCACAAAACAGCTCGTCGAGGCAGTCGGTGGTTAGGCATTCGTAACATATGTCCCAACCACCTCAGCTGGTGAAGTTTCACCACTTCATCTATTGATCTGCCATCCTTTCCTAGCACCCGTTTCCTAACGATAGCATTGCTTACTCGGTTGTCCCACGATATACGAGCAATGCTTCTTAAACATCTATAATCGAATACTAGTAACCTACGAACATCTACTCCTAACGGCCATGTTTCGGATCCATATAGGAGAACGGAGCGAACTGCTGCGCAGTATACCCGTCCTTTGGTCAGCGAACGGATATCTCGACTGCGCCATAAGTGACGCAGGTTGGCAAAAGCCAATCGAGCCTTCTGAATCCGAGCTGAGATTTCGTCAGTCACCAGGCTATCAGCGCTGATGAGACTCCCCAGATAAGTGAAGCGATCAACACGCTCGACTACTTCACTCCCTATCACTAGTTCAGGTGCCGAAGCGACCCAGTCTTGAAGCAACATTTTGCATTTCGAGGTGGAAAACCGCATCCCGAACATGCTTGCATTGTTGCTTAGGATAGTCAGAAGACTCTGCATTTTGTCAGCGTCTTCACAAAGTAGGACTATGTCATCGGCATATTCTAAGTCAATAAGCAAGCCACCTGGTAGAAGGTCTACTCCTGAAAATTCAGATGAGGATAAGGTTATTTCTAGGAGCATGTCTATGATAAAATTAAACAAGAATGGAGAAAGTGGACATCCCTGACGGACACCACTTGAAGTAGAGAATTCCGGTGACAGTTCGCCATAAGCTCTCACTCGACCAGTAGTGTTTGAATAGAGTGCTTGTATAACGTTAATGTACTTCTTTGGTACACCTTTCAATGACAGACACTGCCACAGAACCTCACGATCCACTGAGTCAAATGCCGCTTTTAGGTCCAGGAAAACAACTATTGTAGGACGCCTAAATGTGTGTCTGTGTTCCAGGACCTGTCGTAGTATGAAAATGTGGTCTGTACAATCACGTCCCGGTCGAAAACCCAGCCTGGTTTTCTCTAGTCTGCTCTTCACGAATTATGGTTAGGCGTCTAAGTATGATCGAGGCTAACAATTTAGAAACTATATTAGTTAGACTTATTCCCCTGTGATTGTCAAAAGAGGACTTTGGTCCTTTCTTGTAGATTGGGAGAATTAGCGACTGAGTACTATAGAAAGCTTTCGGACCTCCAAAAAGTTAGGCGCTCCGATGTTGTAATAGTGGCTGGTAACTTTAATGCTCAAGTAGGCAGACTAAGCGAGAAGCAGAGATACCTGGATGGATCGTGTGGTGTCGTGGTTCAATGAACAGATAACGGTGACTATTTGTTGCAGCTATGCTCAGATAACCTCCTATTTCTAGCAAATAATAACTTTAGGCACAAGCAAAATCATCCACCAAATTCGTCACAACGTTGGACCCAACTAGACCAATCTCTATCGGCCACAGATAGAGAATCTCGATAGGAGACTGCCGCTCGTTCTGGAGCACTTGTTTAGATTCATATCATGCTCTGGTGCGAGCGCGTATTTGTCCGCATTTTGCAGGACGTACAAACGACACCGCAAGGAAGCCTCCTAGAGTTCTGCTTAATGATGGAAAAGCCAGTAGTATATTTAAGAAACAACTAGAAAAACAGTCATGTAAATGATGCCCACCCCGAGTCAGCTTGCAACGGTATCCAAACATCTGTAGAAGCAAAAGTGATATTTGCTAGTAAGTTAAACCATACGGCTAGGGAGAAGCAGTGGATCTCAATAGGATCTACCGAGTCGATAGATGCTCAAAAACTCACCTGGCTCTGAACATGACGAAAAGCGGAGTCTGGTGATAAAAAAAGGCTGATAAAAATACCTACGCGATGATCGCAAACACTGGTGCGTATCGAAATTAACAGCCATGGAAAAAGCATCAGTGATAGGTAACTGTAGATAACTGTTCAAACTTGTCGAAGAAACTGGAGTGAGGCTATTTCGGAAAATTATGGGACTATTATTCACTCTCAATCCAGGAGATTGGATGGATGAGCAGAACACTTGAAGGATCACCTCAACTGGGCTTCAGTCAAACTTCTGCTACCCCATGATCCTCAGTCAACCTGAATGCCTAATTGATGTAAACCATCCAACTCGTATTAGAGTTCAAAAAGCTATGGGAAATCTGAAGCGAAGCGGAGCAGCGTTCTTTGACGGGCTCTATAGGATTTCAAGGAATATGGTCCAATTTTTGTATTGAAATTGATTGAGATCTTAAGGTAGGTTCTGAGGACTGAGCGTAGTCCCATCCGACTGGTCTCCATCCCTGATTGTGCCAGTTTATACGAAAAGACAAAAGTCCTCTTGTGACAATCACAGGCGAGTCAGTTTGACCAACTGAGTGTGTAGAATATTAGCTTTACTAATACTCTGATACCTAACTAGACCTCGTGAAGAGTAGAGTTGGAAAAACCCGGTTGCTTCCGTCAGTCAGTTACAACGTAGAATTTCATATGTAGGTATATCATTTCAGGTCACCATATCGCATTAGCACAGAGACTCAACTGTCGATTCTAATCCAATAATGGTAGAGATAGTAGGACAATTATTGCTAATGGAGAAGATTATGATTTGAAGATAATATTCAAGAAGTATAATTCAGTGAGATAAGTTTAGAAAGACGAAGGTAAAGGTGTTGACGGATCCAGAAGATTAGGATTTGAGAGAACACAAAGAGTGGATGCAGCTGCGCTATTGTAAACGATTTTGAGCCATGTCATTCAAGGTCTCTAACCATTGGTGACTTTCGTCTCGCGGAACCCAACCAGGTAGTCCATACATCTACCGACATGACTCAGTCCACTTGTCAGTGACTTTATGGATTTGTGCCATGTTTTGGTTTGGCCGCCCCTAGCTTTTTTCCAGCCTACTACTACACCACAAAACATAGTTCTTCGAGGGATTCGATGGTTGGGCATTCGTATTACATGTCCTTACCGCTCCGACTGATGAAGTTTCAATCCTTCATCTATTGATCTGCCACCCATACCTAGTACTCGAATCCTAACGACAGCACTGCTTACTCGCTTGTCCCACGATACACGAGCAATGTTTCGAAGACATCTATGATCGAATGCTAGTGACCTACGAATAAGGCAACAGGCTTCATTGGCTAGGACTTTAGAATCTCGCTCAATCTTGTCTCATGAGCTCAGGACCTTTTCTTTTCTCTGGAATTTATTTCGCTGGATTTCACTTCTTAAGTAATATCTTCGAACCGTAATATTTTCGATTACCATTAATATTGCCAGAATATCTATATTACTGTGAGAGTTGAATTGACAATTTCATCTCTGTGCTAATGGCAACACAAATTGAAATATGCGTACATTCTAAATTCTCGGGTTGTAACTAACTGATCGACTGATTTCAACTACTATGTATTTACAGCTGTTACTTTTCGTTATTTTACGCACCATGGTCGCATGATCGCGTACACTGTTTATGATTGTTTATCTGACAGCTTTTCAAATCCTTAAAATTATAGGCCATGAAACTACGAAATGTAAGATTTCATCTAACGAATTGTGTTTTTTTATTTCATAATGTCGAAAGTTTTACTTGATTTATACGTGCTGATTATTTGTTAACGTTTTAAGTGTAACCTAGGTCATATATATATATATATCTCTTTTTGTGTGTGTGTGTGTGTGTATGTGTGCAATAGGTAGACAATGTGTCATTGGATCATTTCAAGGATTCTATCAATTTATTTATTATAATTGGTTAGACAAAGTATTCTCTGGAGTATCAATGATGACAGTGGCAAAAAAAGTGGTTCTAGATGAAGTGTTAATAGGACCTATAAGTTTGGTAATATTTTTCTTTTGTAAGTTGTTCATCTGTTCACTTGATTATATATCATTTTGGATATTGTGTCAACGTTATATAAAATATGCCCTTTTTAACCAACAGAAATGCCTGGATTATGGCCTAGAGTGGGAAAAGTTTACTCTACTTCTCTCTCTCTCTCTCTCTCAAAATGCTCTTGTTGGGCAATGCCTGTCTAGCCGCTGACAGGGAGGTCCTGCTCACTACATACCATTTTGTGACAGGGGTGTTGTTGTTTACGAAATTGAGAGGATGAAAAGTGAATGTCGGTTCAGTGGGTACAAAGCATCCACTAAGAGGAGTTGGAAAATTCCGATTCTTAAATCAAAGGTGCACATGGGCTCTCTAGGGTCCTATCGGAACAGATGGTGTATGAATCTATTATTAGTCACTGGCTATTGTGGAACTACATCTCCTTCCATTGTTCCACTGTCTTGTGGTTTAGACTTGGGGGTATAGCCACTTGAGAAAACCATCTGCTTCGGTTTGGGCGTTCGGCCTGTATCCCAGCTCACTCACAAACCCAATGACTTGTGGTGCATAGAGATATTTATGTGCCCCTTTGTTCCAATGTTTATGTGTTTAAAATAATAATTGTCATCATTTCTGATTGTCGAGGTGAAATTTTAGCATTCGTGTAACGAAATGAATCTATATATATTTTCCTCTTTCAGACTTCAGTCATTACTTGCAGACCGTAACTCCCTAAAATTAACGTCATTTAACTTACTTATTCAGCTGAACAATGATCATTTTTGATTGTTCTAATAACTTAGTTGACAAATAAATGTAATATCATCAAAATTGTTTAAATTATTGACTCATTCAATATTGATAAATTCGGATTTGTGCCTTTAAGTCAAAAGACTGTTAGCCTATGTTAGTTTTTTTCTTATTAACCTTATGTACGACGTGTCTCATATTTCGAATGAATCAATTGAATGTGAGAACAGCACTTCTATTAGTAGACTTCAAAAGTCAACCACTCGATGAAATGAGTTTGGTGGCTGCGTTAAATTCAATGTCGGGTTTACTCTACTCTAGTGGCCACGTTGAACTCAAAGTAGGGCTCACCATTTTGCTGTCCTGCGAACTTAATCTGATATTTATAAACAATTAAATATGCTATTTAATAAATCTCCCCATCAGTTTCCATATATCATACTTAGTAGGTGAACCATGTTTATGCGACGGCGGTAATAAGAAGCTAAATAGGGATTCGGTTGGATGAGTTTATTCCAAGCATTCATTTAAGCAGACAAACATGAGAATGAAAAGCTTGCAAGCAAGGCAAAGCGAAGCAAAGTGGAGAAGGTGAGCTGACCAACTCCATGTATGGAGCAGACTAACCATTTATATGAAGTTACAATTCAACGGAGATGTGGCCTGTGATACTCTGCAGGACAGATTAAGAAGAGTAATTAACAGAACATTCAACGCTGCCAAACTTGCATTGACTTTCTCCGGTCGACCTGCGATGTCTACTCAAACGAAGGATAAGTTACCTGAGCTAGCCTCCTCTATGTGCATTTACAAATTCAGCTGCTCCTGTGGAGATAGCTATATGCGTACTTCCAGGCAACTTACACAACGAATGAGTCAACATCTCCCAGCATGGTTTAAGAAGGGTCAGTCAAAAATAATACGCAGTTCTATCTTAGCACACCTGGTAGATAGTGGTCACATTGTAGATAAATCTAGATCTTTTCGGGTGATCTATCGTATACCTCCATCATTTCCCAACGGAGTTCGATCCCGTCTCCTACACATTGCAGAAGCCATAGGAATACGTACATTCAACCCTAATTTATGCGTTCAGAAGAAATTCGTGACAGCCCTACCTCTTCCGTGGCCGGATATGACATAACTAACGATTGACATTATAAATTTATTATTATTATTATTACTTTATTTTATTTTATTTTTACACATTTGCCTTATTACGTAATGTTTTTGATGATTATTTGAATTCTATTCATCTACCCTTGACCTACTGAAGTTATCATATTTTATAAATTTTCTTACTACTATCAGTACACCTGTCTTCCTATTATCCACTTGAACTTTTGCCTATTATATGTAGTTACGTAATCTTTTTCATTTCATTGTGATTACCACTCGAATTGCCATGATTGGTTTAACATTTTCATATAAATATTCATGTATGTTAGAGTAAAGCCTGATGACGATCTAATCGAAAACAATATTGTTCGTTTATATGTGTTGTTCTAATTTTCACAATGGGAATCTTTAAAATTCTTAACCATTTATAGTCAGACAAAATAAGCTAGATATGTAGCAAGCAAAGTAAGTGGTATACACTCAGGCAGAAACCAAGATATGAGCAAATGATTGACAAGGTCAAATGACATGTGGATAATGACTCAGAAAATGTCGATTAGTTTGTCTGAAAGCTAAGGACTCAACTCTACTGTGTCCTATGATTTGTACTGACCTAGTCGGGAATAAAGAAGGTATGTCAGGTTTAAAATCATTGTACATCATAATTAGACTTGTAGGTCACAGTTAAGAAGAACACTGGATTTCAGTAGTGTTCTGAATCGGTTGATGTTGGGCGACTCATTCAATTGGGCTCAAAATACTGTAAGAAGCGAAGGAAACTTAAAAATCTACTGACGAAAAGTGTAGGTGGTAGTCATCAGCGGTAAAAGGTAAACTGATGTAAAAGGCAGTGGCTTTCAGCAACCGTATACCAACTTTCGAAATTAACGAAGAAACAAGTAATAAAAATTCTACAGTTAGTGGGATCTGAAAACTGCATCGATGGGTTGGATACTTTGGAGCTGCTGGTCGGAGGTCTACGCTCCGTTAGGGGGTAACAGGCGTAAGTAAGTAAAGTACCCTTCAGTTTGCTAGGCAACCTGATTGTGGAAGATCATCATAAGCCTCCCGGCGGTACCTAATGAAGTACAAGAAATCATAGCGGGGGTGAGCTGAAGTTTCTGATGAATTAATACCAAAGATCGTTAAGGATAGTGATCCAGTTTTATATGTAAGATTAATTGAGATATTAACTGTAGTCCGGCAACTGAACTTAGCGCAACTTGCATAATCTCAGTCGCTGGTCATTCTAGTCTACAAGGAGCGTAAATTCTCTTTCTATAATCACGAAGTTATCAGTTTACCTAATACAGTATATGAAATATTAGCCTGACTAGTCGTCATCCAACTTTTAATTACGGTTCGCAAATGGCAAATTATAAAAAAACCAGGCTGCTTTCAGATCTAGGTGTGAGAGTTTTAAATAAATACTTACTTTTCGCCAGGTTAGTATTCCATCATAAGTGTTTTTGTAGCATCGGTGGTGTATTTTGGGACTACTGAAAGAGCAGTGTCCAGATTGGACATTGGTTACTAACTAAGTTAAGTATTACGAGTCGGTTGATGAGGTTGTCGGATCCTCATCAACTGAGGTGGTCGAGATATGTTACGTATGCATGACAACTAACCTACATCGACGAACGTTGTTATGTAGCTAGTGTGGGCGAAAGCTAAAAATAAACCAGGAGCGATCAAATCGCTCGTTCCGGTGGTTATTGATAATCAAACTGAGCCATCCTACTAGATATAGATTATTACTTCGTTGGAGTATAGGTAATCATCCCTAACTAATGGTGGTAGACGTTGTGTGTGTTCGTGATGTCTCAAGTGGATTCAATCTCTCCCGATGGAACCTAACTATTGAAATTTCTTTATACCTTGTCTTTCCTTTTCTATGCCTTACATATACTACTATTAATACTAATACTACCATTGGGGTGTCTATTTAATGTTTATTGTATTTTATTTTTTTTAATTTTAGATAATGGATTTTGTGATACATTCACTGTAGCTGGTGCTGTGGAACGATGTCGTCAATCATTTATTTCTGCATATTTATCAGATCTAGCTTATTGGCCTGTATTACAAACTATTAATTTCGCTTTTGTTCCTTCATCATATCGTGTTTTATATGTGATATTTTTCACTAGTCTATGGAATACTTATTTATGTTTTTTCAATGCTCGTATGGTAAGTAAGTGTATTTTAATTGCAAAGTATATATAGTATTTCAACTCGTTTTTTAAACTTTTAACAGGGTTTTTTAAAATAACCAAAAAATTTTTTAAAATTTTCACAGCGTTTTTTAAAATTTTTTTGAAAAAATAAAATAAGAACTACTTTTAATTAAAATCTTCTTTAGCAATCGCTTTTAAACAATTGCGACGTACGTGTCTTGAATAACCTTGTAAATCATCCCTGGTTAATTGATTTACAGAATTTAGTATTAGATTTATAAAAGATTCGTTGGATCCGCTCGCCAGAGGTCTTCTTACAATGGATTTAATTTTCGAAAACGCGAATTCGATTGGGTTAAGCATGTAACTATAGGGAGACAAAAACATAACGTTTACTCCCTTTTCATCAAAAAAGTTTTTTGTGATAATTGAGTGATGAATCCTCGCATTATCAAGTATAAAAATACAATTCTTAAAAATTGATTTTTGATTGCATTTTTCAATTAGTTGATCAAAAAACTGAATGAACTTATCTGAATTCACCGAATCAACAAATGTTTTAGCAAAGAGAACTTCATTTTCTGTTATAGCCGATATTAAACTTATATTGGTTCCACGCGTTGATGGAACTAGGGCACTTGCCGGTTTTCCTCTTGTAGATCTTCCCAAGGTTCTTCTTAAGTACAAATTAAAAGAAGATTCATCTATAAAAACTTTTATAAATGTATCTTCAATGTTCATAAAATTTTGAGCATAAATTTGGCGTTTGTTTTTACTGGATTCCGAATTTATATTGACCGATGTATAAGAAATCTTTTTCAAAGTAATCTGAAGTCTATAAATTATCCTTCTTATAGATTCAAGAGAAAGGCCTATAGAAAATATGTTTTCTATTTTTTCTCGAATTTCTACCATCGTTATTAACGGGTTTAATTCTATCGATTCTTCAACAAAATTGATAATATCACCGCATATCTTCTTATTTGATGGTTTTCCTGTTTTTTTTCTTCTCAACTCGCGATTCCTTTTTATACAACCTTATAATATTTGTAGCGGCCTGATAGTTTACATCTGTAAGAAATGCCGCATCCTTGACGCTGTATCCATCTTCAATAACTTTTTTTATAAGGCTTTTTCTTCTTTAATTCGAAATCCAGTTGTTTTTTCCATTTATTTCTGACATTCTAAGGATTACAAAAAATTTTAAAAAACGCTGTTAAAAGTTTAAAAAACGAGTTGAAATACTATATTATTTCTTGCATATATTCTCTTAACTTTTTTTTAAGCAACTGGATTACTACAATATATTGCATTGCATAAGTCAATACAAAGAGTAATTCTGATTTTTAAGCAATAGAAATAAATTATTTTAGTAAACGATTTATTTTATGTCAGTGATGGTGAATTAAATTCACTGAGCTGACTTTGTTTGTGTCATCAAACTACTTGAAATTTATGTCGCTTCAGACGACGACTACCCAATCAGGGCTAAGTCAATTTATTAGCTTGAACTCTGAAATTAGTACATATGTGTAAGTCTACCGCTTTATTTCGTAGAATCAAGAACTACGGGATAAGCACGTACGAATGTACTGTATTTAAAATTCGAAATCAAGCATTCAACAATAACCAAGAAATGACTAGTTCATTCAAACACCACATCTGCCACAGCTTAAATTGGAATCCAAGTGTCTGTAATCAATTGTGTACGTCTTCTTCTCAAATTCATCCTGCGTCTGTCCAACAGTGTATTGGATAAAGACTCTGTAATATCTAGAATGCTCTCATTAGTATTAGAATTAACAACCGAAATTGGAACAGACTCACCTGGTTCCTCGAATTGTATTTGATCAACATGTCGATTGTGTGTACTTAAGTCATTGATATCTCGAAGTCGCACCATAGATTTCCCGACATTCTTCAGGACAATCCCCATGGATGGTCGAAGATCATTACCACGATAATATGTAACTTCTGCAGACTCCAAACATCTCATATTCGACCGGAGAATTCTTCCTTTTAATAGTTTTGATGGAGTCTCTATCGTCACCGAATGTCTGGTATTTCTACATTGCAGTAGAAAGGTATCTACTCCCCTCTCCAGCTCATTAAATGTTGAGGCGGCAATAGAATCAATCCACTTTGAATGCTGATTTTTCAGCTTATGACACTTCGCAATTCTTTGCTGTACGAAAAATATCTGCATTTATCTCTGGCCACCAACACGTGAGCCTCGCCAAGGACTTCATTTTCTCAACACCTAAATGTCCACTATGAAGATCTTCCAGGACAGCTTTACGCAATGAAGGAAGAATAACAACCCGATCATTTAAACACAAAATACCATCAGGAGTAGTGGATAGCTCATCCCGCTTTGAAAAATAGATAGGGAATCTACGTTTCAGATTAGCATTCCAACCTTCGTACTTAAGTACATCAGTTCAGGTTGCCATGCCCCATCAGCACATAGACGCAATTGTCAGTTCCAATCCAAGAGGGATAGCGATAGTAGAAGTATTAGCAGTGAATGGAGAAGATTAGGGAGCGAAGATATGATTCGAGAAATGTAATTCAGTAAGATAAATTTAGAAGGAGAAAGGTAGAGATTATGAGGAATGCAGAAGCTTAGGATTTCATAGAACACAAAGAGTGGATGCACCTGCGCCATCGCAAACGATTCTGAGCCATGTCATTCAAGATCTCTAACCATCAGTGACTATCGTCTCGCGGACCCCAACCAGCTAGCCTACATCTACCAACATGACTCAGTCCACTTGTCAGTGACTTTATGGTTTTGTGCCATGTTTTGGTTTTGCCGCCCCTAGCTTTCTTCTGTTCATGCAACTGTGAAAATAGAAGCAGGTGTGAATTAAATTAGTGGGATTTATTTCAAATACATACCCTCATACAAATGCATTTGAAGTTATAAGTGAACAGTCGACAAATTCAAATTATATGTGGATGATAGCTCAGAAGAAAAAAACAATCAATTCATCCGCCCTAAAACCCCGAATAACCGTTATAGTACAGATTTTCATCTCGAGACAACAGGTGGTACTGGGAAAGTCAGTCAGTCAGTCTCGATGAGCGGTGTTTTGTGGTGTAGGAGTAGGTTGAAAGAAAGGTAGGGGCGGCCAGACCAAAACATGGCAAAAATCCGTGAAGTTACTGACAAGTGAGCTGAGTCATGTTGGTAAGTGTAGACTAGCAGGTTGTGGTCCGCTAGACGATTGTAACTGATGATTAGAGACCTTGAACGACGTATCTCAAAATCGGTTGCAATCTCGTGTGTGCATCCATTCTTTGTGTTCTCCAAAATTCTAATATTATGAATTCCTCATCATCTCAATGTTTCTCTTCTTAAATTTATTTCACTGACTTGCAATTCCTGAATAATTTCTTCGAGTCTTAATCTTCTCCATTACCTCTAATACTTCTACTACTATAGGATTTGAATTGACACTTCGATCTCTGTGTTAATGCGGTATGTCAACTTGAACTGATGTCCGTACGTACGAAGTTCTAAGTTGTAACTAACTGACTGGCTGACGAGATCAAAATAAAGAACCTCCAGGCTCGAACTTACCACTAGATTGCCTGATTGATGCGGTTAGTCAGAAATATAGAAGTTATTGCAGAAGCCGTATCGGCTAAGTCAGCGAAAAAACCATCGAGGAAACGTCTATTTCATCAGCGTCTTTAAATAAACCTTAAAAGTCGCACTTACTTTTTAGAAAGATAAGTGACAACTTGAACCAGTCACAAGTGACTCAATGAGAATGCCATTAAATGACAATCAGAGATATCCTAAGGGAAGGATGCCTACCATTCACTAAGAAATGTTTTTATCTAAGCCAGTGAATACATTTATACAGACCGGTATTTGTTAATATTATTCGGTAGTCGAATGGACATTCATTTCTGCTCTTTGCTTTTTCCCTCAACCAGCCAGTTTTTCTTTTTTGGGGGTGTTGGAAATTATTGCCCTTAGATCTCAGCATTACGCAGCATAACATTGACTAATTCCGGAATCGAAGTACTTATGCCTAGATGACGACCTCGATTTGACTCACTAAATGAATTGTAAACTTTTGGTCACCCATACACTGAGAATTAAAATTCCCAAAGTCAATCCTATGTAAACTTGTAAATGCACACTGCTTACTGTTCTGGCGGTTTTTGGCTCTACGGGAACTGTCATCAGAAAGTCAGTCAGATGCAACGTAGGACTTCGTACGTAAGAACATCAGTTCATGTCGCCATACCACATCAGCACAGAGAAGTAATCGTCAATTCAAATCCAATAGTAGAAGAGGTAGTAAAGGTGTTAGGAGTAATCGGAGAGGTTAGAATTAGAAGATATTATTTAAGAAGTATGATTTAATGAGAAAAGTTTAGAAAGTCAAAACTAGAAGTGTTGAAGAACCCAGAAGATTAGGATTTGAGAAAACACAAAGAATAAATGCACCGGCGCCATTGCGAACGATTTTGAGCCATGTCATTCAAGGTCTCTAACCATCAATTATTATCATCTCGCGGACCCCAACCAGGTAGTCGACAATTACCGACATGGCTAAGTCCACTCGTCAATGACTTCATGGATTTCTGCCATGTTTTGGTTTGGCCGCCCCTAACTTTCTTCCAACCTATTCCTACACTACAAAACTAAGCTCGACGAGGCAGTCGGTGGTTGGGCATACGCAACACATGTCCCAACCACCTCAACTGATGAAGTGTTACTACTGCGTCTATTGATCTGCCATTCTTACCTAGCACCCGATTCCTAATAACAGCATTGCTTACTCGGGTGTGCCAGGATATACGAGCAATGCTTCGAAGACACCTATATTCGAAGACTAGTAACCTACGAAAGTCCTCTACTCTTAACGGCCATGTTTCGCATTCGTACAGTAGGACGGAGCGAACTGCTGCACAGCACACTCATCCTTTGGTTAGCGAGCGGATATCTCGCCTGCGCCATAAGTGACGCAGGTTGGCAAAAGCCAATCGAGCCTTCTGTATCCGAGCTGAGATTTCGTTAGTTGTATGTTGGTGAGTATCTCCGCCTGTCATCAGAAAGGCTTAAACAATAAAAATTTTTCAAGTTTTGCTTCCTATGTATGTTGTTTTTTTATTGACTGATATTTAGACGGTATATTTGATTTTAGAATCGCAGCGACACCGCCAGTCTTGAAGACAATGAACAAAAGAAAGATTGTCGCTGAGCCAGCCCCTAAGAACAGTAACACACTACATTTTGTGTATTTAATTCCCTAGAACATCTCACTTACTACTTAGTAAGTAAGTAAGTATCCTGCCCATTCAAAATGTCTAGAATATTTTTTTTTTGAAAATTTTCTGTAAAGACTTAATTTCTTTATTTTTCATTTTGCATTGTAGTAATTTTCTCTTTTAAAATTGTAGATTTTCAAATTCACTTTATTCACTTTTCTCTCTCGCTCTCTTTCTGTGTGTGTGTGTGTCCTAAAAATTCCTCTAGAGACAAGAAAAAAATTGAGTGTATTCAATGTCAGAAATCGATTTTCCGTTTTTTGATTTTGTAAGCAATCTGATCAACAGAATACTTTCCATTCATAATTATTCTTATGTATTCTTATTAAATTTTATGATTATGATGAGCAGCAGCGCCCTAGCCATATTCATTATTCATATAGAAGTCTTAACATTTTCATGTTTTTCTTTATGAATTTTTAGTCATAATTATTGGGAATTATAATAAAACAGTTTGATTTGTTGATTTTGTAAACCGAATGTCGAATGCATTCAATTATTTGCTGTCATTAGGAAACGAATTCTATGTAGAGGGATGGCAAATCAATAGATGAAATGGTGTGAAACTTGATCAGTTGAGGTGGTTGGGACATGTGTTACGTATGGCTAACCACTGACTGCCGCGACGAGCTATGTTTTGTGGTGTAGGAGTAGGTTGGAAGAAAGCTAGGGGCGGCCAAACCAAAACATGGCACAAATCCATGAAGTCACTGACAAGTGGACTGAATCATGTTGGTAGATGTAAGCTACCTGGTTGAGGTCCATGAGACGAAAGTCACCAATGGTTAGAGACTTTGAACGATATGGCTCAAAATCGTTTGCAGCTGTATCCACTCTTTGTGTTCTCTCAAATCCTAATCTTCTGAATTCCTCATCATCTCTATCTTTCTCTTTCTAACTTTATTTCACTTCTCGATTACTGCTATCTCTACCACTAAGGGATTTGAACTGACAGTTGCGTCTCTGTGCTAATACGGTGTGGCCAAGCTCAACTGATGTACATACGTACAAAGTTCTGTGTTGTATCTGTCTATTATTGGTTTATTCTTATTTATTATTAACTTTAAAAGTGTTCAATACATTTAAATTGAATAATTATTGAGTGGTTATTTAAAAAAAAAAAGGAATCTATGTTTCCATTGTATTTTCTGATGATGTTCCGTTTACTTGGAAATGATTGTTTGATACGTAAATACATGATCATTAGCAGTAGCATTCATTGATCGAACTGGATGTGTTTCGTTTCGTTTCGTTGAACAAATAACAGTTTATTATACAGTCTCCTGGTAGACAGCTAATATTATTAGAAATATCAGTATTTTCTGATGAAAAGATTGACTTCAAAATATGAAGATTTTTTTCCGCTCATAAAGCTATCGTAATTTGTGTCATTAAGAATTTATAATTTAGAATCTCTTTTCCACAACCAATAACATTAACTGGATATGTTTTGACATTGAGATTTAAATCTCCAATGACTACTATCCATCGACTTTACATTGTTTTTGAATTTGTAAGATATTTTCAATCAGAGTTATGGAGATTAGTGATGATTTCAAATGTGTAAAAAAAACTAATCTTCATAACTCTGATTGAAAATATCGTAAAATGTGCTCACTAGTGACTAGCTTCGAGTTCTAGTGAGAAGACGTGACCAGTGGAGTTCAACCCTGTCGGGTGTAGGCAGTAACTACCAAAGGCAAATAGGTGAGGTCCAGAGGTTAGGCGTTCGCGCACAAGACCAAAGGTCCCGGGCTCGAATCCTGTGGGATGCAGGAGTCGTGGATGCGCACTGCTGATGAGTCCCATACCAGGAAGAAACGGCCATCCAGTGCTTCCAGGTTTCCAATGGTGGTCTAACAATGATTGATTGATGATTTAAAATATATAAAATATTGTTAGAAAAATTTGATGGTCGCCACTACCAAATGTGTAGATTTACATTATAGACAAGATGGGAGGAAGTACTTGATTCAAGGTTTGTTTTTACCAGTTAACTTGCAACCATTCAGTACTGTATCTCTTTCTTTGTGGTATGCAAACACTATTGTTTCCCTATCAGAACAAAAGCCTCATATCAAATGTAGGAGTATTGAAATGTTAGGTCTTTCAGTTAAATGATCAAAACTTATTTTTTATTAATTCTAATTGTTTTACGCCTGCACGTAAACACGTCAACTTGATATACTTGAACTATTACGAGTTACCTAGTCGGAAAACGAGAGCGACGATCGAGGATCCGGCGACACATGCTACTGAAATCTGATTATCCCAACCCCCATATTTAGTAAAAATAAGAAGACGTGATATGAAGTAGAACCTGTATTCTACAAGCATCCAGAAAGTACGAGGTCCGAATCCAGAAGAGAATCAGGATCCCGGACTAGGGATCCGGGACCGGGTCCTGGTCGTGATCATAAAATGTTACAGATAATGCGTATTTATACATTTAGGTTGAATAGGAAACAGCATCAAAGTCTGTGACATTGACAGTTGAGATGGCCAATAGGAAGCAACATCTGAAGTGACATTGATAGTCAGGACAACCAATAAGAAACAACATTGGAGCACGTGACGTTGGTATCTAGGACGACCATAAAATTGACCAGTAGGAATCAACCAATAGGATTTGACCAATAATTCTCTTAGGATATTGGATGAATATCCTAACACAATCTGAAGTTTCATTTCAGAATACAGAAATGAACGTTTTAGAGCGAATTCAAAAGTTTATGCTACGTACGGTACCAGTGCACCACCTTGCTAAAGACCAGTCAGCAAGCTATGGTAGTGCTATAATGTGGCTGACTTTCTTCCAGTCAGTCTGATTGACTTGAAGAAAGTTAGACTTATGGCAGCTTGAACTGATGAACGTACCTACGTAGTTCTAAGTTGTTTTTGACTGACTTACAAGCCTGTCAGACTAATCATGGAGTGTGGAAACCTGTATACGTCAAAAAAGACTAAGGATAACCAGTCGAGAAGTTTCAATTGACTTGTAGTGCCTCCACATATATTTCACTTCTCTCACATCTAACTTGGTTAAGCCTTTCGATTAATTTATTTAACCAAGCCATTTGTATAGCAACAACTGATATGTACCATTGTTATTTTTTATTATCTGCTTTTTATGAGCTTATACGACTGAGCATTGCTTACGCCTACGCGCTTACTCATCCTTTTCGCTTTAATGTTAATCTCTTAATTTTCCCATGAACTCACATGATTTGTCTCGCTTGTCATTTGACCTTGTCAATCATTCGTCGCTTTTATTCATATGTGTGCATATCTATTTCGCTTGTCATATGTCTGTCTTATTCTTATCTGACTATATATTCTTAGTCATACTCTATCTCTTTGAGTTGGCTCAACAGCCTTCTCCTATTCGCTTCTCCTCTTCGCTCATTCGCATATTCGCATATTCGCTCGCTAGTGTATCTGCTCAGTCTGTATGTGGTGTGCCTCGAATAAATGTATACGATACTTGGAGTTTATCTTCTGATTTATAAATCGAGCTATAAGAACACGCAGTTATAGGCACACTACAAACTATTGCATTGACAGTATGAAAGCTACTCATCGATAACACTGGAAAAGTGTTCATATTATATCGTGAATAGACTGAATTTCAAAATATAAACCGCTAGATGCCAATTTAATGATTTGAGTGTTTGTTGGGGATGTTAGGTCCCCAGAACTCGCTTGATAAATGCCTTATTTTGGATTTCACGTTTGCGAGCATTGGCTGATCAGTCGACCTTGAGATCTCATTTCCCACCAGGAAGATCCTTGGCTGTGATTGGATGCTGTGTACTTTAGTGCGCTATTTTCGTAACTGTCCCAATGACGTTTTTATGATGTATAAATAAACGAGAGTTGTGTGTTTGATTGTATTGTGATTTCTGGGTGTTGTAGAATATACTTTCTACACTTATCAGGACTTCTCTTTTGCAGTTTGGACGCTGGTAATTGTCTCGTTTCGCGTTTATCGACTAAGTTGAACTCGTAATAGCTTCAAGCATACCAAGTGACGAACATAACAGTGCTATGCGATCATTGTAAAGCCTGAGTGTTCGTGTATGCACACTGCTTAGGAGCTCTATATATATACTGTGAAAAAAACCATCCATGTATTTAATTGGCTGTCTACCCAAGAATCATTCATAATATAAAGTGATGTGAAAATTCTATAATCTTTACAAAACCATACATTAATACAAATGCATAGAACACTATTCATAGTAATAATAATCATTATTATTATTATTATTATTGTAAATTAATAAGAAGACTGCTTGTTATTCCAAATAAGTATTTATGTATGTATATATTATATAAAGCTATCTTTTATTGTTAATTGTTTGTTCGGTGTGAGAATACATCATCAATAAATAAATACATATCTGAAATAAAAAAATTTTTTTATAACTATTTTCTTTAACTTAAACAAAAGAAATAAAGCAGTTCAGGAAATATGTGATCAGTGAGATGATAAGCTTCAATTAAAATTGCATTATTGATTAACATTTTATTATATATATATAAACAGAAGGAAAAAAAACAGTGTGAAAATTAGATATGAATGTATGCACATACTATACTACTAACCAATAATAAATCAGTAAGTTACAATTGGCAGAATATCATGTTTGCTTGTTTTTTGTTTTTTTTCAATAAATTCCTCAATACTTTCAACGTGTATCATTTTCCTGCTGGTCTAGGTAGTTTGATCAGCCTTCTCGATAAACAATGGATCCTTCTGTGCCACGTCTATTTTTGTCCGAGTCCGTTGAATATCTTGGTAAAGTTGAGTTATACTAGAAAAAAAATAAAATAAAATCAATAAATACATTTTAATGATAAATTAATTGTCTGTCTCTATCACAGACACACAGAAGGATTTGATTTCGACCAATTTGGTCTTGTGTGCTGTTACAGGTATGAGGGCGGTTGTCACTTCCCGGCTGCCCACACCAAGGAAGGTTGTTTCTTGAGGGATCTGAAAAGGAAGGTAGATTAGTGTTGGTCTTAGAAACCTGGTTGCGTGACCGCAGAGTCCAAGGGACAACTGCTTCAGGCCGGTCACTCACGGCCTTTTTATTAAGGGATTTTTTGTATTAGCTCCGCTCTTAAAAGCCCTTAGTGAGCACCCTTACTGACGGAGACGAAAATCCGTGAGGTGTGACCTTTTTTAACCCTTCCTTCCTTTTGAAAAGGCAACATCGCTGTAGAGAGAAACACCTTACCGCCGTCACACCCCTCTGCAGTCAGCAGTACGACTTTGCCCTCAGACCTTGAGTAACTGCTTTTAGTCTGATCGTTCTCCAATCGACCTGCCTGGCACGGTAGAACCTTCAGGAACATATGTTCCAGCCAATATAGCTCGGTTGGATCATGACGATAAGCAAGCCAACCACCACGTCAAGGTAGCAGCTATGGTCGTGCTCTCTATCACAAGGCTAGTTTAGATTAATCAGTAAAGTATTGTTATTTAATTAAACAGTGGATGTGTTAGGATATTCATCCAATATCCTAAGAAAATTATTGGTCAATTCCTATTGGTTAATTCGTACAGGTCAATTTTATGGTCGCCCTAGCTATCAATGTCACAGACTTCAATGTTGTTTCCTACTCGACCTAACTGTATAAATACGCATTATCTGTAATGTTTCATGACTGGGATCCCTAGTTCTGGATCCTGATTCTCTTCTGGACTCGGACTTCGTACTTTCTGGATGTTTGTAGAATACTGATTCTACTTCATATCAAGTCTTCTTTTTTTATTCAATGGCGGTTGGGACACTCGGATTAGAGTAGCATGCCGTGTCGCTGGATCCTTGATCCTCGCTCTCGCTTTCCGACTACGGTAAACTCGTAATAATCCAAGCATATCACAATGACATGTCTACATGCAATACATAACAGAATGTGTAAGAGGATTTTATTTTGATTTGAAGAAATTGTTCATATAGTAAAATTCTTCAGCCAATGTCTATAATAAACGATTTAACTATGATATCACTGAAAGATCATGATGAAGAGGAGCATTGTACTTCGATTCGATCCAAGTTCTATGATGCTAATGAAATCAGTATAAATTGTTGTTTCATTATTTTTTTCTAAGTATTTCTTTAAAATGACATAAGTCTATGACAAAATCATTTTCAATTATTGGATGTGTATATTAAACCCGTGCCTTTACCCTTTGGCTGTTACCGTAATTTTGGAGAATTTTATAACTTTATTACATCGAATAGTTCGTTACATCTGTTTTGAACAAGTGAATCCAATGCACTTTATTTTTTCATTTTTTGATTTAAGGTTATCGATCATGTTTTATGTGTAATCTATATAGTAATCTATATATGATTGACTATTGAATGTAGTTTTATTTTCTAAGTGAATTATGCTTCGATGTTTTTTAATAAACATCGATTTCTGTATTGTTTAAGGTGACGGGTCTATAAGTACAAGTTATAAGTTGAAAAGAACTTTTAAGAAAAATAACTGTTATTTCAATAACATCATAATTGATGGTTTCAGGGATTATTTCCGGAAAAATAACTCATATTTTTGTAGTATAGATTATTTAAATGTAAGCCATAGGAGTTAGATATCTTGACGATAAACCTTACGATCAAATGTTCATTTTCACTGCAGTAATTAGTGATATTTCTGATGCGGATGGAACTGAAGTCACAATGAGAAGCTTAGGAGAGTTTGTCATTAAACTACTCTTAGAAGTATTGCTCGTATATCGTGGGACAACCGAGTAAGCAATGCTATCGTTAGGAAACGATTACTATGTAAGGATAGCAGATCAATAGATGAAGTAGTAAAACTTCATCAGTTGAGGTGGTTGGGACATGTGTTACGTATGCCTTACTACCGACTGTCTTGATGAGCTATGTTTTTTCATGTAGGAGTAGGTTGGAAGAAAGCTAGGGGCGGCCAAACCAAATCACGGCATAAATCCATGAAGTCAGTGACAAGTGGACTGAGTCATGTTGGTAGATGTAGACTACCTGGTTGGGGTCCGCGGGACGAAAGTCACTAGTGGTTAGAGACCTTGAACGACATGGCTCAAAATCGTTTGCAATAGCGCAAGTGCATCCATTCGTTCTGTTCTCTCAAATCCTAATCTTCTGGATTCGTCAGCACCTCTACCTTTGTCTTTCTAACCTTATCTCACTGAATTATACCTTTTTGATTACTATCTTCAAACCCTAGTCTTCTTCATTACCATGAATACCTCTACTATCTCTATCACTATCACTATGTGGTATGGCAACCTGAACTTATGTACATTCGTACGAAGTTCTACGTTGCAACTGACTGACTCCGATTTTGACTGCTTCGCTATCAGACTAGAAAATTTATACTAATTTCTTATTCAAAATTGAACATCGCCTTATTGTTTGATCGTTAGAGCTACTAAGTGAATACTAAAAATTAAACAACATAGAATATAAAATTGTGGGGATAGCTAATCGAGAAGACAGCCATGCACATTATGGATTGATGAACTTATCGATTAAATGCTTAAATATTTCAAGGGCAGTCGATTGATGAACTATCTGATTAATGTTCATGATGAACTATTTGATTAATGTTCAAATATTTTAACGACAATATCGATTATATATATAATTGTATAAATACGCATGTTCGATTGTATATTTTTGATTCTGTTAATAAGTGTTTTCCAACGTCTTCCGTCTTCTTATTTTTTCGAACGGTGGGAGTCTAACGTTCGGTGTTGTCATTTATACAGTGGTTTGGCGTTACTCAAGTACAGAACGTAAAAAAAATGACATACCAATTTTTTTGATTACAATTGATTTGAATAGGAAAAGATTTAAGGTAGTATTAAACGTTTGCAAAAATGTAAAAACAAGTAATTCAGTGAAAACAGTTAAACTTATCACTATACATCAACTTATTTCACTATAACAAAGGATTTGATGTTCCACACTCTCTTCAGAAAGGTTCAGGTGAAAGAAAGCATGTATTGATAGACTGGAAAGAACAATACCTTATCAAGATACCAAAGTGAAAAAAAAACTTTCCAAATACAAGAACTACTGAAACATCATACTAATAGCAGCATCAGGAAACACTTGCAACAGTGTGTTGTTTAACCAAATGAAAGATTCCATAGATGACTAACTTCGCTATCCTACACTCTCGATGGATCACAGCTGAACGGAACTCATTACTATAAACATTGACCTCCTTGATCCTGAGAGCGTGGACATAACCTTATTGACTTTTCTTCGACACTGGTATACCTGAGTTCGTTACCCTCATACAGAAATCTTTCAACAGACTGCAATGCAATGTTGTGGTTTGAGGGCAATTCATATAAAAATTCCAAGTGAAGAATGATGTTGGACAAAACTGCTTACTCTTGCCGTTTCCCCTTCTGGTGGTTGATTGGGTTATAAAGACTTCCACATCTCAGGGGAAGCACCGAATACAGTGGGCAGCTTGGATGAAGCTGAAAGATTTGAACTTCGGAAGCAGCCTTGATCTATTATCTCATACACAGAAACAAATTCAAGTGAAGACATTCAGTGTTGTAACAGACTCAATATTCACAATGGAATAAGCTTGATCCTAAAATAGAACACCACGAGCACCAGTCAAGTCATACTTGATGAAGATTCTCCAGAAGAGGTGGAAAATTTTATGTACCTAGGCAACATTACTGGTAAACAAGAGGGATCTGATGAAGGCAGTGATTGATTAAGCAAATTCACTTGTCCTTCAGCTAAGTCAATTTTATTTCTCTTGATTGCATGTTTTGAGTATTCCAAACCAACTCAATTTCAATGAAAGTAATCCTTACAAATTGTTTTGATCATATAAATTATCTAGCTGATATTTTCGGAATGATATCATTTCTGTTTACTCTATCAAACTGAACAGCTCTCTAGTATGTGCATGTTAAGAATGAAATTGTAATCACTGGAATAATAATCATACTAAATGTACTACTGACATCAATTTAAGTAGTTTAAAATCTAGCATTAACATTTATAGCCATGGACTGGATAACATCTCTGCATGATCAGTATAGAAAGATTGACATCATGTTAAAACAATGCAGATTTATCTTGATTATTTAAATAGTATCAGTTTCAAGAAGGAATTCTGATTAGCGTTATATAGAAATCACATTTAGCTCCTGGAATATGAATCAATATTCATTACTCCCACGCTCTCTCTTTAAATTGCGAGTCAGTTGGTGTAACACCAACATACCTGACAAGCATGATCTTTTATTGTATGAAAAAAATATGAATAAACACATAAAAACTTAAAATGCTTACATCATTACTGTCAATATCATCCATTGTCCAACAACAATATGTGCCTACAAATATCCAAGCTGATATGAAACACAAAATGGTAGCAAGCCATAATAAAATGTAACCAGAACCATAATTGATCGATGTTGTTGTACGTTGATTCTATTTTCATTGATACAATTAATACAAAAAAAGAGAATGAATATTTATCAAATAAGCATTGTTGAAAAAATTGATTTAACTTTGAAAATCGATGAAAATATCTTTCAATTCAGTCAGAGGAGATACAATGGTAGAGAAAATTTGTAGCTCAGATGGATGATTATGATGGTGGTGTTTCGTTCTCTGAGCTGGATGTTTAGGTTGTGAAGCTTTCATAATTGTTCTTCTGAATAACATCATAATCATCACAAACTTCAGATGCTAACAGAACAAGCTACGAGTCAAACGTGGAGAAATTCGAATGCTTCACTTCTATCTGAAGTTTGTGCTGATGATGATGTTGTTCAGAAGAACAATAAAAGCTTCACAACCAAAATATTTAGCTCAGAGAACGAAAAACCACCATAGAGATATAATACTTAGTCAAATTTTATAGGTAAAGAACAAATCATTTGTAAATAAAGACTGAATTTTGTAGACCATTGTTACCATACGTCTTGTAAGGAAATTCCTGTCTTTACTTATTACTGTCAATACGGTTTTAAGTAAGCTACTTCAAATGTCACTGGTGTGCTAATTTTTTAAAACTTATGCGTCATGACTATCTTTCAAAAATGATCAAGCGCCATTTACCGTTTATATAAACAAACATTCTTGATATTATTTTAGGGTTTAATATGCAAAGAAAATTATCGTAAGAAGTCGAATGGTTATGATCAATGCAGACTAGTTAAATGCATTGTTATAATTTAGCTACCATAATGTTTTCATTATCTGACGACAGTCAATCGAACTTAAAATTGTCGATTTCTGGAGTGATGTAAACGTGCCAGTCATAGCAAAGCAATAAAGATATTGTTATATAACAGTTATAATGAACAAACTATCCTAAAAGAAGCTAGTGTTTCTGTTAGAATATTCATCCAATATCCTAAGAGAATTATTGGTCAATTCCTATTCGTCAATTCGTACTGGTCAATTTTATGATCGTTCTAGATATCAATGTCACGTGCTCCAATGTTGTTTCTTATTGGTTGTCCTGACTCTCAATGTCACTTCAAATGTTGCTTTCCATTGGTTGTCTTAACTGTCAATGCCACAGACTTCCATGCTGTATATGTCTATAGATGCATTATCTGTAACGTTTTAGAACCACGACCAGGACCAGGGCTCGGTTCCGGATCCCTAGTCCGTGATCCTGATTCTCTTCTGGATTCGGACCTCGTACTCTTTGGATTCTTGTAGAATAGACGTTCTACTTCATATCACGTCTTCTTATTTTTACTAAATATGGGGGTTGGGATAATCGGATTTGAATAGCATGTCGTGTCGCCGGTTCCTCGATCCTTGCTCTCGTTTTCTGACTAGGTAAACTCGCAACAGTTCAAGTATATCAAGTTGACGTGTTCACGTGCAGGCGTAACAGTTTCATGAAGAAATGAAAGGCTGTGAATGATTAAAACATTATATTCTCATTATGTAGATGTTAAGTAGACAATTTTCAGATGTGACACTGTTGTATTTTAAAATAGTAAACTAGTAGATACTGTTTAGATTGAAGATATTTATGATCATGGGTTACTTCAGTGAGATAACTATTGAAAAATATGAATTATCAAACAGTATCACACCTTAGTTTTGCACGTCATATAAGTTTAAACCTATGATTCCACCTGAGACTGAACCCTGTTTGATAAAAAGCTATTACGTTTTCTTGTATAAGTTTAGTATGAAGAATACACGTTAATAGATATTTAATGTTGATACTCGAACACCTGATATTAATTACGTAACCACTCTTAAGATTCTCCAAACTTGAGCTCCAAGTAGTTGAGAAATGGTGTGAAGTGAGATTAGGAGCTCTACCTAAAGATCAAATGGTGTTCCGATGTTAAGGGTTAGTTTTGATATTGTGGAAACTTACAGGGATTTAGTTGGCTGGGTAAAAAAAATAGTTAGTTTATAGCACCTCACATACATTTATTTGAGCTTGTTTGATAAAACTCTTTAATTAACTTATTTAACAAAGCGTCACTCGTACAACAATACCTTATCTATACTATTGTACTTCTAGTATTCTTGAGCAAGTATGCTGAAGTATTGCTTACCGCCTAGGCATATATTCATTCTACTAGCTTTAATGATTAGTCGTTTAAATAAGTCGATAACAGTATTGACTAGTTTTTTTACATGTGTAATAATGCTGTGGTGCGCGCTACCTATAAGTAGTATATGACGTGAGTGTAAACGTAATGTCTGGCAGCAGAAGATGGGGGAAGATCAAGAAAGGAAGAAGAGTGGGAACACAATGGAATTTGTATGAAACCCATGAATGAGTGAAATGTCAGACAATGGATTGATGATTGATTGAAGACTTGCAAATTAACCGTTTACGATATGGTTTCCCTATTTTACTGAGTAACTCTGTAACTTTCGTTAAATACAATTTGGTTGCCCTCACCTGTGTTCTGCTTCATTACAATGCGATATCAATATTGACTGTTTCATAATTGAGTGTATGTAGCATGCTTACTAGTTTATTACATGCTTCGACTATTAATGCCCCTATTATAAATACTTAGTCATGCTACAGTGCAGAGGAGTTCACTCATTCACCTTCTCCGATTCTCTTTGTTTTGCTTGTACGCTTGACATTCTCATGTATGTCTACTTAAATGAACGCATGAAATAGATTTATTCGCTCAACCGTATTTGGCTTCTGATTATTACCACGGTTGTACAAATGGGGTTCGCCTAAGTATGATATATGGAAATGAAAAAGGAAGATTTATTTCACTGTACACTCAATTATTCAACCAAACTGAAGTCAACTAATGGGCCACTAAAAATTCTAATATAACATACAATCTTTAGATTTTCAAGATATTTTTGGGTATCATTTACTTCTTGCCGATATGAGTGAAATGTTATTAGCCTTTTCTTGGTTTCTGGAGATTATATCAAAAATTACTGGATAGCTCTTAACAATAACATGATGATGAACAGAACAATTCATAACCCATAATCAAAACCTATAATTTTTCCTGAGAAAAATAATCATACTTACTTCAGACCATTGGTTAAATCCATATGGATATCCAGATGATATACCGTATTTATCTTCAAATTGTTCAACATGAAACATAATAATTGAACTTTGAAGACAAAAACCTTTATGAAAAAAAAATTTCAAAAACAATAGAAATGGAAATTTTTTAGATGTTTAACACAGCTATTGAACTAGTGAACAAAAGTTTACCGATTTTATAAATCTCAAGGCTAAGTTAATCAATCAAATTTTTAACTTTTATGAAATTATAAATATATTTCCTTGAACAATTAAGCTTGAGGCTGCCAAATCAAACTTACTTACGCCTGTTACCCCTTAGTGGAGCATAGACCGCCCACCAGTTTTCTCTAACCAACTCTGTCCTAAACCTCTTTTTTCAGTTCTGTCCAATTTTTGTTCATTATTCTCATATCTTTCTCTATTTCTCGGTGTAATGTGTTCCTTCGCCTTCCTCTTTTCCTTTTGCCTTGAGGGTTCTAGCCGAGAGCTTATCTTGTGACGCAGTTGGGTGCTTTTCGTAATGTGTGTCCTATCCACTTCCACCGCTTCTTCCAGATTTCCTCCTCCACTAGAATCTGGTTTTTTCTCTCCCACAGTACGTTGTTGTTGATGGTGTGTGGCCAACGAATCCGAAGTATTTTGCGCAGACAATTGTTAATAAACACCTGTATCTTCTGGATGATGGCTTTGGTAGTTCTCCGAATTTCCGCTCCATAAAGAAGAACTGTCTTGGTATTTGTATTGAAAATCCTCTTTTTGATTTTGGTTCAAAGTTGTTTGGAGTTCCAGATATTTTTCAACTGTAGAAATGTAGCCCTTGCTTTGCCGATCCGCTCCCTCACATCTGCATCGGATCCACTTTGATTGTCGATGATGCTGCCCAGATATGTAGAGGTGTTAAGGTCTTTCAAGGCATCTTCATGAAGAGTGATTTGGTTGGTGCATGTTGTGTTGCATCGGAGAATCTTGCTCTTTCCTTTATGTATGTTGAGACCTACTGCTGCAGAGGCTACTGGTGCAGAGGCTGCTGCTACATGGGTGGTCTTCACTTGCATTTGTTGTTGAGTGTGCTATAGAAGGATCAGGTCATCTGCGAAGTCCAGATCGTCCATTTGCATCCTAGCTGTCCATTGGATACCGTGCTTCCCTCCAGATGTTGACATCTTCATAATCCAGTCGATGGATGACCAGGAGAAAGAGGGAGGGTGAGAGTAAGCAACCTTGCCTGACACCGGTCTTCACCTCGAAAGAGTCTGTTAGCTGTCTTCCGTGCACGATTTTGCAGTTCAATCCATCATAAGAATTCCGTATGATGTTAACTATTTTCTCAGGCACACCGTAGTGCCAAAGAAGACTCCACAGTGTTTTCCTATCCACGCTATCAAATGCTTTCTCGTAGTCGATGAAGTTGATGTAGAGTGGTGAGTTCCATTCAACTGATTGTTCCACAATGATCCGTAATGTAGCAATTTGGTCAGTACACGATCGATCCTTCCGAAATCCGGCCTGTTGATCTCGAAGTTGGGCATCTACGAAGTCCTTCATTATGTTTAACAAATATTTCATGATGCCTGGCAACACATCATAATTTATACACTTCAAAATACGATCGATAACTATTCTTGTTCACATAAAGTGGTATTGTTTGCACAGAAATCATTGGGTATTTTAATTTATTTATGAAGGAAATTATTAAAATATACAGTTTAAATGAAGCCAAATGTAATTTAAAATAAATATTTTATTCTATTTAAAAAAATGCTGTTTCACTTACCAGCTATCATAAGGAATATACCAATGATTAATCGCCAATTTCTATAACATTTATTATCTTCATATTGTCTACACCAAACAATAATCAATGCAAGTGCAGCTATGAAACAAATACCCATGATAATGATAGCGATTGCATGCATAGCCAATTCAGCAAGACGTAGATCTACAGACAAAAAAAAAGCAGTACGTGTATGTTTAAGATAGTGTTGAAGAAACAAGAGAGAAAATGATTATGCTCTTAAGCAAGTATATTGAAAGCATGAATCGATCAATGTTAGACCACAATTCAAAACCACGAAGCAATGGACGGTTGTTTCGTTCTGGTATGAGCCTGAAGGTCCTAAGTGTGAATCTTGTGAAGGGCAGGTGCTGTTACTGGTATGACCCGACCGTAGCTGCTACCTTGACGTAGTGGTCACGCTTGCCTATCGTGATGATCCAACCGAGCTATATTGACTGGAACTTATGTTCTTGAAGGTTCTAACATGCCAGGCAGGTCGATCGGAGAACGACGAGACTAAAAGCAGCTACTCAAGGTCTGAGGGCGAAGCTGTACTGCTGACTGTAGAGAGGTGTGACAGCAGTAAGGTGTTTCCCTCGGACAACCAGCATCTACAGTGATGCTGCATTCTCACAAGGAAGGAAGGGTTAGAAAAGGTCGACCCTAAAAATGTCACACCTCACTCTACTTCACGGATTTCGGTCTCCGTGGTAAGGGTGCCCACTAAGGGCTTTAAAAGAGCGGAGCTAATACTCAAAATACCCTTCATATAAAGTCCGTGCGTGACCCGTCTGAAGCAGTTGTCCCTTGGACTCTGCGGTCACGCTTCCAGGTCTGTAAGACCAACACTAATCTACCTTCCTTTTCAGGTTCCTCAAGAAACACCCTTCCACAGTGTGGGCAGCCGGGAAGTAACTGACTGAAGGGAAGGAGTTGTGGATGTGCATTGACATTGATGAGTCCTATACCAGGACGAAACGGCCATTATTCAGTGCTTCCAGGTTTCTAATGGTGGTCTAACATTAATCGATTCATGATGTCAAAACGTAACTCAACAATCTCCACAACTCTATAGTGCAAGCAAATATGTGACATAATGTTTATAGTGAGATTTATATGATTTTTTCTCAGTCAAATGAATAATTAATTTTGACGAAGAATGTGGAAAATACATTGTGTTTAACTTTTTTGAGTTTCAATACTAAATCAGAATTCTAATCCAATGAATTTCAGTTGCATTTTTAAAAAACTGTATTTCTTTTTGCGTTTCTTTAACTGATATTCAGTATCCAGAACGAAGGTTTCATGCTATTTAAAACAGATCAGCTTGATGCATCCCAGCGTTGAAATTCATACTGTGTGTGTGTATCTGACTAAAAACTGATCATGTTTCGTTTTAAACTACTAACGCTTATGGATTTCAAAACTCCCACAAATATGAGTAACATTTTACTGGAAAGTGTGACAGATTGATTTATGATCCAATAACTTCTTCTTGGCTAAATTTCATTATCTAAGCTGGACAAATTCATTGTGAAGCCCTCACTGTGCTTCTGAACAACAGCAACATCAACAACTTCAGATAGATGTGAACTATTTAAAATTTTCACATCTGATCGACATCTTGTTCTGTCAGCCTCTGATTAATTATTGTTGACCCTTATCATTACATTTTCTGCATATTATATTATGACTATCCTTCCGTTTGACATTCATAACTAAATAGTCCAGTTCACAGAATCGAACTTCACCAAAATCATCCACATCAATTACACAAATCTTCTTCACTATCTCAAGATGTAATATTATCTTTCCTCCAACTTATTGTAATGTTTCGATAAACTTACTGTGTACAAATACCAACTTAACTATCACAAGTCGTCTAAACAACAACGTAATGCTAAATGACATTTCATCAATAAAATCAATGTCAATATTTGTAACAGATCTTTCGCTATTACATTTACCACTACTAATCGATGAATGGAATTTTCAGAAGCTTCGGTACTCATGACTATCAGTATTTAGTCGCGATTCATAGATGCAATTCAATCATTTGAACCAATGATAACAAGATCAATTAGTTATTTGGTTGAAGAGTGAACATTGATAAAGCTCTTTCACTGCAATGATCACTAACAAGGTCTTTCATGTCGAATATTCTAGAAGAATTTGGGAGCTAATTTAATGAAGTATTTCTTTTCATCAAGTATGAAATGATTGCGTTATTCAGAGTGATAGTGGTAAATCATATACGTAAACCGTTTGTAGTGAACAGGAACACAGGTGGAGCAACCGGATTGTATTTAAAGAAAATTACAGAGTTACTCAGTGAAATCGGAAAACCTTATCGTAAATCGTTAATTTGCAAAATATCAGTTCATCATATCGAACTGGACTGTTCCTGTTGCAAAACATCAATCCATTGTCACTATTCATGATGCGTTTCATACAAATTCCATTGTGTTCTAACTCCTCCTTTCTTGATCTTCCCCCATCTTCTGCTGCCAGACATTACGTTGACACTCACGTCATATACTACTTATAAGTAGCTCGCACCACACGTTCAATACAAAACACAAAAATATATTATCTTCTAAAGTAACTATTGAAAGTACATTGATCGTTTTCAGATAAATATGATTTGTCTTTATTGATTTATCTGTTTTATTTATTGCACGATAATAATAATAATAATATTGATTAAACTTTTAACTGGTGATTCCTTTTTTAAAACATGATCCTTTTTCATGAATGAATACAATGAATTTTAATTTTGAAACGTACTTGTCATTAAACCTGAATATTCATCTACGTAACTTAATTCACGATTCTGGCATGTGTTATCTATAGATACAGATATAGATATATTTAAAACAAAATGACAATGATCAAAGTTACAATGAAATAATATTAGAAATTGTTTATAATGAAATTTAATGAAATTAACTGATATGAATGATTTTAATTGCTATCATCTTTCAAGTTTTAAAAAATATGTATTGTGTTCAATGTTTCAATGAGAAAATCAATTTTGAAACTTATATTGACAATGTTACATATATCATAGGAATAAACACTGTTTCTTGTAAATAGTAAGTACAACAGTACAACATAGGATTTTTGTTAAACTGGTGCTGTATTTGCTCGATTACATCGTTTATAAGTCAGTATTTAAAGAAATCTATGCAAAGAGAGGATGTATATCTACTTATTTTCCAAAATCGATATGTAGGTCAGACTATATATTGATGAGTTACTATTTCTAATGAAAAGAGCTATTGCTCAGCTAATTTGAACAATATTTCATAAGGAATGATCGGCAACAGATGTTTATATAAACATATATGAGAGATAAGTTATGCCAACGACAACTTTCAACAAACATCAAAGTCAGAATTTTCAGTGCAAATATCAAGACAGTTCTACTGAACCACGAAATCCATCTATCAGAAGATACAAGCATTTATTAACAGTTTTCTATGCAAAATACTTCGGATCTGTTGGCCAAACACTATCAGCAACAACCTACTATGGGAGAGAACAAACCAGATTCCAGTGAAGGAGGAAATCAGGAAGAAGCGGTGGAACTGAACAGGAAACACATTGTGGAAAGCACCTACTGCGTCATAAGACAAGCCCTCACTTGGAACCCTCAAGGTACAAGGAAAAGAGGAAGGCCAAGGAACAAAATACGCCGAGAAATAGAGAAAGACATGAGAAGAATGCACAAAAACTGAACAGAACCGGAAAGAGGAGCTCGGGACAGAGTAGGTTCGAGAATACTGGTCGTCGGTCTATGCTCCATCGGGGGTAACAGGCGTAAGTACGGAAGTAAGTAATGAGAAAATTAGCGAACAAACTGTTTGTTCTGGTACGTTATTTATTATGACATCTAAATTAAATAGTAATAATTCTGGCACTTCATCATTATTGGCTTTAAACATATTCGGGATTCATTTTTACAATCATTTATGGTTGCTACACTTTTCTCCAAGAGCTTCTTGAAAAAACAAACAAAGAATAGATCCCAGTGAATACTTATAACTAAAGCATAACATAAGTTATTATCTAGAAATGAATAATATCAGAAAGACTCAGTAAATTAGTGTTCATTTTTTTTGCTTATAGAATTTCATTTTTATTTTAATTGTATTGCATACATTAAAATGCACTTAATTTATTCAAATTACTTTATTGATCATTGTAGTAAATCAAGCCGATATGAGTCAACGTATTTTCTTTCGTATTTAGTTTTAATCGATTTGTAGATTGAATCTTGCACTATTGTTTTTAGTTTGCCTACTACCTTAAATGAAGCTGTGTATAGTTGTATTTTGTAATAACCATTGATGTCTACCAAAAGAAATGTCAACGTAATATCTATGATCACAACTGTGAGAAATGATGGTTTTCTTACTTGGGAAGACTTTCTACTTTGTTCAAACGTTTTAATAAAAGTAATGAGATGATTATTAGTCAATCATCAAATTACTGACAAGTGGACTGAGTCATGTTGGTTGATGTAGACTACCTGGTTTGAGGTCCACGAGACAAAAGTCACCAATGGTTAGAGACCTTCAACGACATGGCTCAAAATCGTTTGCGATGGCGCAAGTGCATTCATTCTTTGTGTTTTCTCGAATCCTAAACTTCTGGATTCGTCAGCACATCTACCCGTTGTCTTTCTAAACTTATCTCACTGAATTATACTTCTTGAATAATAATATCTTCAAACCCTAGTCTTATTCATTACCATTAATATCTCTACTATCTCTATCACTACGGTATTTGATTTGACATTTGCGTCTCTGTGCTAATGTGGTCTTTCAACCTGAACTTATGTACATACTCGTACGAAGTTCTACGTTGCAACTGACAATTATTAGTCAATATGACAGGAAATTAGCAATTTCTTATTGATTGCGTTTAATTATCAAACATACAAATATATATATGATGATTAATTAACATATGATGAAAATATCAGCAATGAATAATTCACTGTTATATTATATTTACCTGATGTAAAACAGACTTGTGTATAACCCAAAGTTCTCGCTTTGTTAATATTAGCATTGGTTGAATCAAACACAGATGGACTGATCATAACAAATGTTGGCAAAGCAATAGAAGCAGCAGCCAATGCAATAGCTGCTGCAAGAATTATAATACCAGCAATTATCCAACTTCGAGTATAATTTAAATCTTTAAAATCATAGTATTTTTCATCTAGAATATCTGAATCGTTTTTTGTTGATTTCATTATCATCTATATGAAACAATGAACAGAATTAATTAATTAATAATTAATTATATGTGTTAAACAGCAAAACCAACCATTTATTAAAGATTTTTGATGAATACAATAAATAATGAATGATACTTCTTTGTTTTAAATTATTATTATTTTTTTTTCATCTATTTAAATCAAATAATAATTAGACTAGTGCTAAGTCATTTCAATATTGTGGTGCGCGCTACTTATAAGTAGTATATGACGTGAGTGTCAATGTAATGTCTGGCAGCAGAAGATGGGGGAAGATCAAGAAAGGAAGAAGAGTGGGAACACAATGGAATTTGTATGAAACGCATGAACAGTGAGTGAAATGTCAGACAATGGATTGATGATGGATTGAAGATTTGCAAATTAACGATATACGATATGGTTTTCCTATTTTACTGAGTAACTCTGTAATTTTCGTTAAATACAATTCGGTTGCTCAACCTGTGTTATCCTTCACTACAATATGATTCAACGATTTAATGCAACTTAGGCGGGTAATTGTATCGTATTATATTTAAAAAAAGACGTGAAGTGATAACAGTCCAATACATCAGCTTCGTACACTTATACTTTTCATAGTTGTATGCTGAATATCCACTAACATGAATGTACCAAATGGGGTAAAGATGATTTATTTGAGAAGCACACGGGTGTTTTTTATGAGTTCCGTCACTAAGTTTAATGTCTAACAACCCACGATTGATTAAAATTACAATAATTTTCCGCATTAAAAATCCAATTTGGTTGGCTTTAAAATTTTATGCTACAATTAATTTACATTGAGATTTCATTGCCAATAGGTATGTATGTTCAATAGTGACTAGTTTCGTGAGGAAATTCTCGGAGTTCTAGTGAGAAGGTGTGACCAGTGGAGTTCAACCCTGTCAGGTGTATGCAGTAACTAACGATGGATGAGGTCACGCGAAATCCCTAGATTGATTAGAGTTAGACAATACCACCGTTAGATGTCGGTCCACTTCTCCAGAGGTTAGGCGTTAGCGCGCAAGACCGAAGGCCCTGAGTTCGAATCCTGTGGGTGCCAGGAGTCGTGGATGAGCGCTACCGATGAGTTCCATAGTCGGACGAAACGGTCGTTAAGTGCTTCCAAATTTCTAATGGTAGTTTAGCAGTGATTGATTAGTGATTTTAATGTGCAAAAACACCAATATTCATAACTGATTGAAAAATGTATCTAAGACCCGAGAAATGTCATCCTATCCATAAACGGTGGAAAATTCATTTACTACTTTTAAAAATTTCGAAATTACTGTAAAAAGCTTAACACTTTCCACAAATAATAAACTTAATTTTGTTTAGAAAAACAATAATCACACCTCTGACAACAGCAAATACAACTTGAAAACTAATCACTTAATCAATCAATTGGTCGGAACTATTCTGTCTGACAGTCAATCAATCAAACATCTGAATCTCAATTTCATTAAAATCTTTTCCAAGAGCTTATTGATCAAGTGGATTACTTAAATATCACTGATTCATGTATTTAAAGGTGAATATCTTAAAATCAGATTCCAAGTGAATGAAGAATGGAGACAATTATTGCATTTCTTTTTCCTTGAAACCCATTTAGAGCAGTGATCTATTCGGAGGTTTATTAAAACTTTATTTCAACGAACAAACAGTATATAAATTAGATTTCTTCTAGGTACTATTTTACTTTCAAGTTCACCTGGAGCCTATCTAGGGTTACTTTCAGTCCGAAAAAAATGTGAAGGTTCGGGAATGAGGTTAGCAATCCTGATCCCTTATAAAAACAATCTGATAAGTAATGCTAATTATTTTAGTCTTGTGACTACACACAATGATACAATATGTTACTTAATCGAAGGTCATAAATAATCCTAATTTACAAAGACTATGTTATTTAACAATTGCATCACATAGATTTCAGAGTGTTATAGCTATAACACAACTGTCTTCGTTTCACTACGATACAAATGAACCGAACAAATTATACATGCTCAAAGAAATTTACATGATAGTAAAGAAATCCTTAGAATTCCATATTTGAAATTTCAACTTGGAAATCATTTTGGTCATGAAAAGATCTTTGTTCATATTGACAAACTAACTGAGATCTTAAATCTCAACTATCAACTGTATATATATATATATATATATATATATATATAGCATTCATTTCCAAAGTTCATAATTACTTCTTAGAATATTATTTTCAAATAAAAATCAATAAACAGGCTATACAGTATTGCTTAAAATCATTGATTTTTCTCAATCATAAATAAGTAAATCAGTTACATTAATAATGATGATTGTATTTTTATTCTATTTATCTACATTAAAACATAATGACTACAAATTATCTTAAGGTCATGCATGCATGCATGGCGAACAGTTTATCTCCTTCTATCTGGTTCGATCGACAACAAAAAAGTGCAATTATGTTGATTATTTAAAAGCTTAATCCATGCTAAAATTCATTTACTTTTACTCTATTTCATGAATAATCATTTTTGTAATGTTGAAAACTAACTATCACAGGATAAATTGATGCAATGTATGACCTTGATGAGATAACCTTTTCTGTATATATATATATTCATGGTAATACATTTGAAATCATGTGATCTTGATGGAAATGTTATAGGAATTACTTGATTGAATAATTCGCTTCAATATTTCTCCACTAATTATTGAATTACAAATATTTACAACACAGTTACTTACTCATAAAAGTGGTGAAAATGTAGATTGCTATCTATCTATCTATCTGTCAGTTCAAGTTGCCATAACACAACACCACAGAGATGCAATAGTCAATTCACATCCTATAGTAGTAGATGTAGTAGAAGTATTGGAAGTAATCAGAGAGATCAGGGTTTGAAGATCATATTCAAGAAGTAGAATTCGGTGAAATAAACTTAAAAGAAGAAAAAGATAAAAGTGATGAAGAATTCAGAATGTTGGAACATGAGAGAACACGAAGAATGAATGCATCTGCGCCATTGCTAAAAGTTTTGGGCCATGTTATTCAGGTTCTCTAACCATCGAGTTTGAGATCTAGAGAAGGCAAACTACCATGAAATCAAGTTCTAGACTTTATGTACAACCATTTAATTAAGACTCACTAAAAAAAGTGATGATTAATAGTATGGCGTTTACAAAGGTTGTTGAATGCTGATGTCACAAACACATGATTGTTTAAGTTATATTGGCTTACAATTTCTAAAATATGATTACTTATACGATCAACAAAGAAAAAGAAACATTTTGCTTAGCTAAATCTCATGTAAACTCTATAACAATGCTCTATTTTTCAAGATTTCTTTCGTTATAATCAACCATTTGTTTGATCAGCTTGTTTCTGTTCCATTGTTTCAAATAGACAATAAAAAACATTTCAAATTTTGAAAACATTTTATCCAATTATGATTTAATATTATTACACTGCATCAATGTAGTCATGAAAAGATCTTTGTTCATATTGACAAACTAACTGAGATCTTAAATCTCAACTATCAACTGTATATATATATATATATACATATATATATATATACCATTCATTCCGAAAGTTCATAATTACTTCTTAGAATATTATTTTCAAATAAAAATCAATAAACAGGCTAAACAGTATTGCTTAAAATCATTGATTTTTCTCAATCATAAATAAGTAAATCAGTTACATTAATAATGATGATTGTATTTTTATTCTGTTTATCTACATTAAAACATAATGACTACAAATTATCTTAAGGTCATGCATGCATGCATGGCGTACAGTTTATCTGCTTCTATTTGGTTGTTCGATCGACAAAAAAAAGTGCAATTATGTTGATTATTTAAAAGCTTAATCCATGCTAAAATTCATTTACTTTTACTCTATTTCATGAATAATCATTTTTGTAATGTTGAAAACTAACTATCACAGGATAAATTGATGCAATGTATGACCTTGATGAGATAACCTTTTCTGTATATATATATATATATATATATATATATATATATATATATATATATATATATATTCAAGGTAATACATTCGAAATCATGTGATCTTGATGGAAATGTAATAGGAATTACTTGACTGATTCATTTGCTTCAGTAGTTTTGCACTCATTACTGAACTACAAATATTCACGAAATTAGTTATTCACTAATAAGTGGTGAAAAAGTAGAATACTATCTATCTATCTATCTGTCCACACATCTATCTATCTATCTATCTATCTATCTATCTATCTATCTATCTATCTATCTATCTATCTATCTATCTATCTATCTATCTATCTATCTATCTATCTATCTATCTATCTTTCTATCTATCTATCCACACATCTATCTATGTATCTATATATCTATTTGTCTAATTTACTAAACAGAATGATACAATAAAGTTATATTTTGTGATCTCAGTTAGTCAGTTTGTCAACAACAACATAGAACTTCGTACGTACGAACATACATCAGTTCACGATGCCGTACCACATTAGCACAGAGATGCAACTGTCACTTCAGATCCCATAGTAGTAGATGTAGTAGAAGTAGTAGCAATAATCAAAGAGATTAGGGTTCGAAGATATTACTCTAGAAGTAGAATCTAGTGAAATAAACTTAAAGACAAAAAGATAAAGGTGATGAGGAATTCAATAGTTTAAGGTAGGAGAGAACACAAAGAATGAATACACCTGCGCCATTACAAACGATTTTGAGCTATGTTATTCAGGGTCTCTAACAATCGATTTTGAGATTTATAGAAAGTAGACTAGCATGAAATCTACTTCTAGATTTCCTATAATCGACCATTTGTTTGATCAGCTTGTTTCTGTTCCATTGTTTCAAATAGACAATAAAAAACATTTCAAATTTTGAAAACATTTTATCCAATTATGATTTAATGTTATTACACTGCATCAATGTAGTTTAGCTCTAAGAACATACTGATTATGTAGCTGAGGAATCATTATGACTCAGACACCACAATGTAGACTTAT